GGAGCTCCCTGCTACCCTCTCCTTGAGGGAGGGAGCTCCCTGCTACCTTCCCCTTTAAGAAACCAATTGTGCTTCTACATCTGTTTCCTTTTCTGACACCATTAAAACTTGTTCCATCTTCTCTGCTCTCCACCCTATCAACATCCTGTCAATCATATGTCATCCTTTTGACTTCCCGGACCTGTGGTGCCCACTGGCTCAGTCCCTCATCCTTTACTTCCTTTCACCCCACCATTTCAGCCAACCTCCCACGACTCTAGACGAGCTCTGTGACATCACGTTCATGGGCGAGGCCCTAGAATAGCATTTCAACCTGTCATGGACCACTCCCTCTTTCCTCTGGAAACTTCCTCTGCAGTCTCTTCTCTCCTGCCTCACTTCCTCTCCAGCTGATCCTCGGAGCATTCCAGCATTGGCCTCTCAACGACCCGTTCTTTCATTGTGGGCCCGAAGCATCAGGGCTTTGTTCTGGCCCTCCTCCAATCCTCCCTTGATTATTCTTCCTAGAACTACCCTAGTTCTTTGGTTCCAGCTAGAGTGAGCCTCCAGACCTCTCCCCAGTCTCCTGGATCTTTGTCTAAAGTGGCTCAGATCACCTTTGAGCATCCCCGAACCCCAGTCTCATCACATGCCCTTGAGCCTCCTTCCAGGGACCAGGCTGCCTCTCTGTCCACTTGCTCCATGGCTAGACCTAAGAGTCCTGCTTGCACGTTTGCTCTGTTATAATCTAATTCCTACCTCAAATGCAACCTCACTGCTGGCTCTGGGATGCTCTGCCTGTTCTATGCTCATGGCCTCTGCTCCAGCCCAGGCTTTGCCTTCACTTGTCCCCAAGACTTCTTTGCCTCCTGGGCTTCAGTCCATCCCCAGCGCCCCAGCATGCTCTTCAGTGCTCTCACCCTCATGAGGATGATCCTGGTAGCTCACTTATTAGCCAGGCTCCTCCCCAGCGCCCCACTTCACACTCCGCTTTCTGGTCTGGAAGCCCAGCTCACTGCTTACTGTCATGCTTCTCTGCCTAGCAAATTTTATATGGACATTTTTAAAAATTTAAAAATGATGTGTATGGGTATTTTGTCTGCGTATGGGTCTGTTCACCGTGTTTACGCCTGGTGCCCTTGGAGGCCCTGGGACTGGAGTTACCAGTTGTTGAGTTCCCATGTGGGTACAGGGAATTGAACCTGGGTCCTCTGGAAGAGCAATCAGTGCTCTTAACCGCTGAGGCATCTCTTCAGCCCTGTGCTCCTCTATTTAAGGTTATGGTCATCTCTTCTGTGAAATCCTTCCTGCTTCATCATTGCACAGACCTCGAACCTTGTATCAGCAGCCCGAAGGGCAGGCTTTGGGTCTAAATTGTCTCACTAAACCCAGGGTCTCCCAGGAGCCAGGCTGCTGAGGCTTTAATGACGATCACAGGCAGGTAGAACTTGCCAATTAGGTGGTTTTGGTTGTGAGCAAAGCTAGAGTCTGGGTCCACATATCCTAATTTTCCCTTTCGCAGCAACTTGAGCCCAGTGCTGCCATCTGCTGGGAAAACACACTCCCTATTTTTAAAAGGCCTAACTAATTAAATAACTTTTATTTACAAAAGGCACAACCGACTAGCCGTGGTCGGTCACAGCAGCAGCAGAAGGCAGTGGTGGAGTGCAGGGCCAGCTGTCTCGGTGACAGGTGTGTATGTGCGTCCCCCTCCCCCAGGTTCAGCTTTTGGCCCCTGTCCCGCCCCACTTACTGTCTCAAGTTAAGGCACAGCCCACTCCCGCCCGCCCAGCCCGACCGAGGGGCCTAGAGCCAGTCTCGGAGCGCACTCATCACGGAAGCCCGCGCAGATGGGAGTAAGAGGTCTTTAGTGCCGCCCCCCGCCGTCCCCAGCTCAGATCAGCGGTGCAGCAGGCGGGGTGAGGATCAGCCGGATGCGCTGCACGCACAACTCCGTGGCCTGCCGGGTCTCGCGACACAGGGCCGCCAGGCTCAGGAAGCCATGCGGCAGGTCCTCGACCACTTTCAGCGTCACGGGCTGGCCCAGGTCGCGCAGTCGTCGCGCGAACATGACCGAGTCATCCAGCATGGGGTCCAGAGCGCACGCCTAGAGAATGGGGGTCAGGGTAGGAGGGAGGGAAAAGGACGTGGGCACAGATGTGAAGGTTGACAGAGACAGGGGGTGGGGGAATAAGGGGAGTTAGGGAAGGAGAGGGGAGAAAGAACACAGTGGAGGTGATGGGAAGATATGTGGTTAACTGAATCCTCGACCTTTACCCAGTCCCGCCCATCTTTTTCCACCTGCTCAAGCCTCCTGCCCATGACAAATGACAAGACACCCTGGCCTGGCTGGCTACGTGGTACTTGGCTAGCTCTTTTCTCCAGGGCGCCCATCTCCCACCCCACTGCCCTCCAGAGGTACCCTGCCCGGGCATTCTCACCACAATGTGCACAGGCGGCAGGGTCTTCAGCATGTTGTCAGGGGCCAGCAGAGGAGACATGAAGGGGTTCTTGACTATGGGTGCCGAGTAGAGGGGCATGTGGAGGACACCTTGGCTTGAGCGCCGGGGATGGAACCCCTCAGGGAAGGCAGCGCGCACGCGGGGCACTCTGTCCATGGGGCTCACTTCATCTTTGGCTTCAGACTCTTCCTGGGAATTCTCAGGCCGCAGAAAAAAGTTGACATCGGAGGGTTTGGAGGGGCCAAGTGTCTCCATTGACTGTGACATTTCAGGGGTGTCCGAAGACTCTGAGTTGCCCTTAAAGCTCAAGTCTTTTAACGTCAGCTTCTTCAGGGTATCTGTGCCCAGCAAGTCCTCGGGCTGGGCCAGGGCTGCCTCAGACACACTCCTGCGCATAGACTCAGTGGGGCGCACAGACTCCGTGGGGCGCACTGACTCTATAGGAAGGACAAAGACATAGGCTGCCTGAGGCCAGAAGATAAGGCTAGCTGTGAGGAAGGTGTGTGATGCCAGACAGGGGAGGTCCAGGACCAACCGCCCCCTCCAGAACGGGACATTTCTGTATCCAGGGTTGCAATCCTAAGGTTGGTAGAATTGGAGGTGGGGCTGTGTTATAGGGCACGGTGGGAATGTATTTAGACTAGGAAGTGCAAATCAATTGACTTCTGAAATCTTCCATTTTTCCCTCTGTATAACTGTTATATAGTACTTAGCTTATAAAGTATAAGAATATAAGAACTCAGGGTTAACAATCCTTTCCTCCCAAGGGATCAAGATGTATCTGTATGAATTTTTGTCTCTGTGGTGCACGCAGCCCTTGCACATGCTAGTTCTCAGCCTCTTGCCCCTTGCTGGTGGATTCTAGGCAGGTGCTCTACTGCAGAGCTACATCCCCAGGCTGGTAGTAAGGTTTGATTGGCAGGCTGTAGCTGCCTCTGGGCTCCACACTGCAGGAAGCTCTGCCAGCCTTTTTATGACTACTTGACCAAAGGGTGTGAACGAGCACGTACAGCTGAAAGGAGCTTCTGTCTACGGGCAGCTAACGCGACCCCAGGTGTGTTACTTTCCTGGATCTGCTCTCCAAAATGGCGGTCACGTCTCACTTTTCTCTCTTTCCATTGAGTAGCCGGGCAAGCAAGTGCCTTGATGATGAACATGTCTGTTAATTGGATCCCCACGGCTTGCCCTTCAAGGGATTATGCTGTTTTAGTTCTGTTGCCCAAATTGGGATCCTCCTGCCTCAGGCGTGTGGTGTGACACATACTCCTAGCTACAATTTGCCTTTATCAATCTATGAGGGGCAGAGTGCAGACCAATATAAGAATAATCACTTAGGTGCTGTGTGACCCAGAGTCACTGGAACAGAACTGCAGACATAAACATGGGATTCTAGTGTCTTCTAAGCCAGGGACTGTGCTGGCATTTGACACAAATGGGTGTAGTCGTCCTCACTATGACCCAGCAAGGTAGATACACTTGTACCCATTTCACAGAAGGACAAGCTAAGGGTTATAGATGCTAATATTTGTCCATGAATGCATTGAGGCCCTGAGTTAGAAGCTGGGCTGGAGTGTGTGCCTCTAGGGTCACCTTTCCTGCTGAGAGCCCCACCCCCATGGCTCAGTGGTCCCTTGCTTCAAATTCAATTTCCTTTTAATTTGTGTGTCTGTATTTACCTGAAGATTCTAAAATAAAACACATGTAAACTGTCTTTTTGTGTGTATGTGTGACCAGAGATCACCCTCAAGGTGTTGTTCTTCACGGCACCGTCCACCTTAGTTTTTTTTTCTTTCACTTTTATTAATCCTTATTTTGTTTGTGGGTGTGCATGTCTGGTGGGCAGAGGATAATTTATAGGAGTCGGTTGCCTTGTACCACGTGGATCCTGGGGACTGAACCCAGGGCAGGCTTGGCAGCAGGGACTGGGCCATCTGACTAGCCCCCACCTTAGCTTTTCAGTCATGTCTTTCACTGAACTCAGACCTCACTGCTTTTGCCTAGACCGGCACTCCAGTCAGTCCCAGGGACTCACCTGCCTCTGCCCACCAGAGCTGATGTGTGCCACTACACCTGGCTTTTATATGGGTTTTGGGATCCAAACAGGTTCTCATACTTACACAATAAGCTCTTGTTTCCATCTCCCCAGGCCCCTGAAGGAATGGTTTTATTGTTATTATGACAGTGTTTCCCAGTATGGCTTTGACCTACCTTGAACAGGAATTTGCTTCGTTGATGAGGGTGACCCTGAACTCACAGAGCTTTCTTCTGCTTCCTGTAGTGAGGGCCCTGAGAGGTTTTTTTTTTTTTTTTTTTTTTTTTGCAATTCCTCGGATTGTGAGACGGATTGGGGAAGCAGAATTTCCAGGATGTGGTCTGCTGTGGACAACTAAGGACTTGTTGTAGGACCAAGGACAGAACCAGCCAGGACAGGTATCTCAGTGGCCCCATGTATCCTGGGGCTTCTGCTATGTCATGGTGTCTGTCTATGCTGTCTTGGCTAGGTGCCTTGGAGCAAGCTCTAACTCACCTGCTGTGGGCAATGAGGTCTTTTGGGGCTTGCGTCCACCTAGCTCCAGGAAGGAGTTGAGCCACGAAGAGGCACCCAGGCGGAGGTCTCTGAGGAACAGGGAAGTGTCTCTCTGCACCAGCCCCATCACGCCCAGTGCCTTCTGGTCTGAGTCAAAGTGGTCCTCTGCCTCTGTCCCTGCAGAACGCATGTAGGAGGCTGAGTTGGCCTCTTCTTTTAGGCCCAGTGCAAACACACAGACGTGGCGTATCTGAGGCAGGCTTCCAGCTGCCATCCTCTGAGGGCACAGCCTTTACCTGAATAGGCACTGACACACTTGGAGAGTACGCTCAGTGGTAGAAGAGGATCCATGAGGCTCAGCAGACGAGAGGGAGAAGCAGAGGATTGCAGGGTGGTAACTGGATAGGCTGCCATGATGCCATCTGGGACCCTCACTCCATAGGCTGCTGCCCGGAGGGATACGGTGATGCAGAGATTCCCACCTGCGCTGTCACCTGCAAGGCATATCCGTTCTCCGGTTGAACCTAGTTGTGGGGAGACGAGCCCAGTCATAGCCTGGCATGAGTAGGGAGAACGGGGCTCTCAGGGGAGGTATGCAATTCCAAAGATCAAGCAGAATGCCGTTTTAGTTACCGGCAAGAGGCATGGATTTGGACCTATGTGGTCTGTAGTGGTCAGAGGACAGACACAGAATGCTGGGGACCTGGGGAGTCTGGCAGGCAGCAGTGAGAGCAGGTGGTGGGGAAGAAGAGTTCAGGGCAGTTTTCCTGAGACAGGGATATCAGACGTTGGAAAACCAAAGGTCAGAGTTAAGGCTGGGAATGGCCACACACTGCTCTGTGTCTTGATGTCCTCCTGAGATGTTGGCATTCCAAGAGGGAGGTGTGGGAACCTGGCACATGGGTGGGCATGTGAGCCAGCAGACTCGAAGTGCAGGAGAGCAGAAGGTGGGCAGCTGGGGGGGTGGGGAGAGAGGCAGGAGGGGAGGGGCCGTGAGAAGAGGGCAGGAGGCAGAGATGAAGTGGCCAAGATGCAAGATGAACAGCATTGGGGCTAGCCCTTGGCAGGGCCACAGAGGCGGTAGAAGGGAGGTGGGCTGGGGTGAGGGACAGGTCGGGATTTGGCCGAGGCTTGAGGACCTAAGGACTTAGTGCTTCTCCAGGACAGGACAGGAGCTGAGGAAGGGTGGCCAGGGGAAGGATGGGAGAAGAATCTGTGAAAGCAGGGACCTGGGTCTCACCAAGCAGGTCACAGTTCTTGACAGCCCAGCAGTAGGCAAAAAAACACTCCTCCAGTGCTCGGGGGAAGGGCGCCTCAGGGGCCAGGGAGTAGTCAATGGAGATGATGGGAACACCTAGCTCCTGGGCCCAGTTCTTGAGGTAGGGCTCATGGGATTTGGAGGTCTGTGCCACAAAGCCGCCACCGTGGATGTGGATGACCAGGGCCCGCGAACGGGGTGCTTGTTGAGGCCGTGGACGCAGCTCCAGGCGTGAGCCCTCAGACTTGGCCAGGCTGTTGAGCATCTTGCTGTCCTGGTGTTGAGGAGGGGGCGGTGATCTGTCAGGGCTTTCTTCCTCCCACAGGGCAGGCTCAAGGCTTCAGGGTGCTGGGGTGGGGCTGCTACTGTCTGGGGCTATAAGGGGCTTACCTGTCCTTCCCGCAGGTCATAGGAGATGAGCCTGGCTAGCACAGGCCCCGGTCCCGTGTGTGCCAAGGGAGGTGAGATGGTAACTGTGAGCCTGGGGTCAGAGGTTAGTGGCATCTCAAAGGCCTCAGGTGGCAAGCTAAGCAGGCGGCTTACCCTCACAGTGGTTGACGCCATGTTGGCCAGAGACTAGGGAGGGAACAGAAAGGATGCTGGAGTGCACACACCATGCTGCAAACTTCCTCCTCCCAGCACAACCTTTTTTTTTTTTTTGCTATCCTTGAGCCTGGGCCCTGAGGTGAGCAGTTGTGGCTTTGCTGGATGTCTGGGAGTCAGTCTGGGAGTAAGCAAGCTGGGGCCGTCTCCTGAGTCTGCTCACCGATAGCACCTCGATCTCAGTGATGTTCCAGAAGGCTTTCCAGAAGTGCACATCCAGGTTCTGTATGATGCGCTCAAACTCAGCCCCCCGCAGCTCCGGGTCGATTGCGAACCGGCCACCGGTAAACAGGGAACTGGCGGTCACACCTGGGGAGCAGGGTGAGGGTGTCAAGGAGCCCTGGTGGCAGCCAGACTGCTCAGTTGGGTTAGGAAAGGGGGGACAGGAGAGGGTATGGGCAGGGTCCAGCTGCCACTCACTGAGGCCCGTCTCGTTGCGTTTGTAGTGTTCCCCGAAGGACACCAGCCCGATGGAGAGAGTCTGCAGGAACGGCCGGATGGCGGGTGTGAACTGTGAAGGGACGCCTGTGTCACCCAACTGCCCAGGAAGGATGGCACTAGGTGCATGGCCTGCAGTGATGTCCGTGGGCCAGGCTACCTGGCCAGGCCTGGGAGTCGGGAGAGGCCGGGGCAAGTGCAGAAGCAGGAGCTGCGATGCTGCACACGGGCAGCTAGGGAAAGCAGAACTGAAGCAAGCACGGAACGGGGAACACGGTGCCGTGCCTACAGCTGAGCGAGCCAGGGGATGAGAGTGAGGGAGGTCCTAGAGGCAGACAAGGGCCTAGGTGAGGGATGGATTTCATTCTGAGCACCTGGAGGGGTGAAGCCGACAGTTCGGGCTGGGTACAGGGAACTGAAAGCCAGAAATGGGGAAATGATCCAAGACAGGTACAGAGAACTTGGGCAGATCAGCTGAGGCCTAGACAAGGGGTCGATGGCTATCAGGGGAGACTGGGAGACACGTGACAGGTGGCAGACAGGGGACAGACAGGAGACTCAGCCCCAGGAGGTCAAGGCAAGGAATTAGTAGGGTTCTTGTTCACTCAGTAAACACTGGACAAGTTCCACAGCGTGCCAGACTTTGGGAGGGGGCAGGGACTGAGTAGTATCTGAGATCTGGAGGCCCCTGCCTTCCTGGAAGTTGACATTTTAGACGGTGATGCTGTCTTGTATTTGAACAGATCTGGGTCCTCAGGAGCTGGCAGCTGGCCCAGGTTGTGCTCTTGGCCAGGGACCCAGTAGGCCAAAGAGCACAGGAGCTCCTGGCCTTTGTGGCTACAATACCGATTTAGGCAGCCTGGAATTTCTTTCTTTCCAGTGTCAATGCCAAGACATAAAAGCAGGGAGATGGCTGGCTCTGCCGGGCTTATCACTATGTAGAGGGGTCGTGTGTGTGAGGGGAAAGGCCCAGAAAGAACTATGTTGGGTTGCTCAGGACCAGAGTAGTGGACAGGGACAGGGAAGCTGAAAGAGTGGTGGGCTCATCTCTCAGTGAAGGGAGAGGAAGCCCCGAGAGGAAGCCCCTGGAGTTTAGTAGGGCTCCTTGATATAGCCTGATAACCCTCCTTGGGGCTGCCTGGAGGAAGCACTGACCCCAAGACAGGGGTAGCTCCGGGGCCTCTGTTCTGAGTTCAGTTTTCTATGCTCTGCAATTCTCTAGCCCCCAATTAATTAATTAATTAGTTAATTCATTTACTCGTGTGTTTGCTTATGAAGCAGGGTCTTTCTGTATAGTCTTGGCTTGCCTGGTACACACGATGTAGCTCAGGCTAGCCTCTATCTTTAAATAATCCTTCTGCCTTAATCTCTTGAGGGTATTGGCTGCCTCACTTTCTGTGGTTTGGGATGGGCAAAAGACAGAAGGCTCACAGCTTGGGTCAGAACCTCTAGTTCAGGAAAGATCAGCCACAACTAGGTTTTCCGCCCCTCGCTGTCACAAATATGATGGGAGTGTTTAACCCTGTCCTGAGGGCTGCCGAGAAATCATGTGATTTTTACAGCAACTAAGCCCAAGTGCCAATCTGATATCTGTGGGATGGCACCTTCTTCCTTCTGTTTCAGAGTCTCAGTGAAGATGACAGGGAATGCACGCACACAGAAGAGACCTTTGAGATCAAGAACAGATCACCCTCCTCGGGGCTCAAACTCAAAGGAACTTAGGGGACTACAAAAGAGTGAATGGGGGATACAGCTCAACAGCAGACTGCTCGCCTGACATTCACGAGGCTCTAAGATCAAGCCATAATACTTGAAATAGAAAAAGAACAAATGAACCTCCCCCGCCCCAGGGATTAAAGCTCTGGTCTCATGCATGTTTGGGAGATCTTTTCTCACTGAACTACAGCTCCAGCTCTCCTGTTACTCTGAGACAAGGTCTCAGGAAGTTCCCAGACTTCCCTTCATCTCACTCTGCAAGCTCAGCCAGGCCTTGGACCTGCAATCCTCCAGCCTCAGCTTCCCAAGTACCTGCCAAGTTACCAGGCATGAGCTTGAGCCCCACAAAGTCCAGTTCTGAGTTCCTGCCAACTTTCTTTGCCAGTCTGTGGGCTGAGTCATGAATCTAGTAATTGTGATTACCGTGGACACTACTTCAAGGACAGGTGACCGGCCACCAGCGCCTTCACTGTGAGCCCAGAGGGACATGGGGCAAAGGGACTCACCTGGAAGCCCAGGCAGCGGCCATAGAAGCAGCCTTTATGTAGCGTGACGTACTCTTGCAGGAAGTCTGCAGTGAATCCTTCGTCACCCTCAAAGAAGAGAACTCCTGGTCGGTTGATGGTCAGCAGGCGCTGGGCGTAGTAGGCCAGCGCACGGAGCTGGGTGAGGGCAGCCAGGTAGGCCTCCAGCTCTGCTAGGTTGTGGCTGGCACGGAAGAAGATACTCCTGCGGTTAGAGGCCACGTAGCGGGATTTGTGGAGTAGGTGGGCCAGGCAGCAATGAGCCGTGTGCACCAAGCTACGGTATCCGTTGGCTGGTGTCTCTGTGTCCAGGTCAAAATGGTGTGCCACACCCAACAGCTGGCCTAGGGTTGGTTCTAGCCCCAGTGCCTGCTCCCGAACACCTGCAAAGACATTGGACAGCCGCCGCGCTGTCTCTCCTGGGCCCTGGCTTGAGAAGAAGGCCATATTGTCTTCTGCGAGTGTCACCAGAGATTGTGTCATTGTGCGTAAATCCATGCTGTGTGAGAACGCTGAGGCTGTGGGAAGATGGGAAGTCCGTGATTACCCTTTGCTCTGTCAGGCTCAGGAGTACAGGACCTACCTCTCTTTCCCTAGGCCTAACCAAGTATCCAAACCTAGGATCATCGTTGCTAAGATCCAGGAGTTCAAAGCCGAGTCCTCTCCTTCCTCAGGTTCAGGGGTCTGTTCCAAGCCTCCTGGAGATGCAGGGGCCTTCCATTTTCTTCTCTCTTACACCTAGGAATTTCCTTGTCTTCTAGACGTCTAGGGCCGCAGCCTCTTTCTGCCTAGCAGCGGGGACTAGAAGCCCTCAGACTGGGCAGTCCCTGCCTGTCTCTACTCTTTAGAATTAGAAACCCGCTGTCCATGTCTTTTGCCCTCCTTCCTGGATCTAGGAGACCAATCTCCTGAGTTCAAAAGAAATCTGCTTCCCTATCCTGGAAGCCAGCCCACCCTCTTCCTTCTTCCTTCCAGGTATTCAAGGGGGGAACTCCTTTCTTTGTTTACTGTCTTTGGACTTGTCCTTCTTGTTCTGGGACATCTGGATGCTGCTCAATGGTCCCCTTTCTTAAGACCCACACATTCAAGCCCCATTCCAAGTTTCCTTTTCAGTCTCTTGGGGTTGCCTATGAGCCCTTCCCTCTAACAATGGTTGGGACCACTAATCCCTGAGGCCAGCGATCACTCCCACCTAGGACTGCCCTCGATGTCTAGTTCTCCTTCTGAGCCTCGTCTACACAACATCAGCCTTTCTGCATCACGGACTCCCTCCTGGTTACTTCAGCCTTGAATCCCTTCCAAAATCCACCTCCCTCCTTGTTTTTTTTTTTCCCTGTAGGATTCCCTAAACCCAGCAGCCCTTCTTTGGATGGTCACCTGGCTTTCAGCCTTGTCCATCTGCCTTAGATTACATTGTCCCACTGTCTTGCCTGAAACAGCAGTTTAAATAGCTAAACCCAGGCTACAGTTTAGTTAGCTCCCAAAGACCCCGGATGCACTGGTTCAGACCTCTATTACAGGAGGGTAGCTAAGGGTCAGTGAGGAGCCAGCGGTTGCATGGATAACAGAGCCCACTTACTCGCCGATTTCTAACTCCAGAGTTCCTACATACGTAGCACTCCTCCTAGGTCTCTCAAAGCTCAGCTTCTATCTGTCCTTCAAAATCTGGCTCCATGCTTGGCGTGGTTTCCTGCATTCAGCGTCCTTTGTGATCTTTCTCCGGAGTCTCCTTACTGTTACTCTCTGTTACTCAGACTTTTATACCACATCTTGGATAAGCTGCCCTTGACACTTCGGTGAGGACGTTACAACCTTCCCAAGTGATTTTTCCCCCCTCTGGAAGTCTAGGGCCCTGCCTGGCTCCTGGATTTGAAATCCTTTGTTTCCCTAGAAGACGGTGTCTCCTCTCCCTTCCAGGTCCTGGGTTCTGGCAGCAGGACCATTTCTGTCTCTTAGCTGAGCCTGCACTCACCCCTCCCTGGCCTCTTCCGACCGGAGCTCCCCAAGCTGGCACAGCAGGTCTGTGGCTAGTGCCAGTAGCAGCCTGGGGCGATAAACTGGGGGAGGGACCAGCCTGGGTAGGGTGTGGCCATTGCTTCACCTCCCATCCAGAAAGGATAGTTAGAACCACATGTTGTAAACAGAGCCCAGAGTTCAACTCCTTGCCCCTCCTGCCTGCTTGACAGGCAGCAGAGTCCTCCTTCCTTAGAGCCCCAGACTCCTGCACCCCAGTCCCTCCTTGCTTAGACCAGGGAACCCATGCCAGGGTCTAGACCCCAGCTTCTCCTTCTTCAGACTCAGGGATCCATTTTCTGTCTTCTCCCTTAGGACCCAGGAGTCACAAGCCTCAGTCCTGAACACACTGTCCCCTCTCCCCCAGAAAGCTGTCCCCTTTCTCCCGTAAGTGGATTCAGGGAGCCAGAGGGCTCAGTGATGCCAATTCCCACCCCCACCCCGCAAGACTGGCCCTGGCACAGATGTCTCCAGCTGTTAGGGAAAAGAAGTGACCAGCCCCGCTTTCACCCTCCCTGGGATGACAAAAGCCGATTAAGGCATTACCAAACTCACCCAGGGGCCCGAGTCACAGGCCCGACTGGGTGGTATTCTTCCATGCACATCCTGGGCTCACCCCCTAACTTCCACAGCCCACCCTGCGGATGGTCCACTCCATGTTACATATGGGCAAAGCAAGGCTCAGAGACTTTTACAGGTTCTTCCACAGGCTCCTCACCCAGCCGGCTCTTTCTCACCCTCAGGCCCCAACGAGGTGGTCCTTCCCCTTATCTCTCCCATCTCTAAAGTCCACCCTCCATTTACTCACTAAGCTTATTTCAACCCTAGCGTGCACATGTCTTTTTTTTTTGTTGTTGTTGTTATAGTTGTTTTTTTATCTGTCTAGGACACAAACGGGGTTTTTGTGGAGGCAGAAAGCTCATGGAGTATGACTATTTAGGGAGAACACAACATTACAAAACAAAATCAGGTGTGTGGCCTCGGAAAGAGCCTGCTGTACACGAGAGGCTGAGAGGCTTCAGCGGCATGTGTGTCTGTCTGGCTGTGGGTCAGTCCTCAGTCTCTGTCCCTGGACTGTCATCTTGATGAAGGGAGAGGGTTGGCCCCACGGCCTAGCACACGCCAGCAAATATGTGAAGGGCAGAGGGCACAAAGTAGACTGAAGGCCAAAGGCAGTGGCCGGGGACTGGGGAGAGGGTTGCGCCTTCCCAGGACTCGCAAACAGACGGATCATCGCCTTCGGGGGCATTAAGCTAAGTGGCCATTATGGTAGCATACTGGTCCCAGTTGCTAGGTTAGGTCTGAATTCCTCATCTGGAAAGTGCTGAGCCATTCTGCCCACCCAGGGTGAGTGGGTGGGGGACTGCTTCACGAGCAGTATCCCAAGGGACTTTCCTCCCCCTTCCTCCTGGAAGTGGAACCCATGTGCTAAGCATGCGGCAGTACCAAGCCATATCCCTAGCCCAGGGAGGCATTGCATGCACATGCATGGTTTACTCCCTGGTCTCACTCGGCTCAGCATCACTGATGGGGATGGGGGGTTGGGTTCTTTTTCCATGCAGCCCGTCACTACCCTAGCCCGTCACCATATGATTTCCTGATCATATTATTTGTTCTGTTTCCCCATGAGATTGTCTGGGGATCCCGAGTGCAGGGCCTTCTCTGTTGTGTTCCACTCTTAGCCGGTGCAAGTTCCCACTTTCTAAGCCTAGCTTCAGCCACTTGTCACAGTGGATACCTTCCATCTGTCACAGTTTCACTCTGCTAGAACTGACTGCCTTCCCACCCCAATGTCACATGTGGCGAGTACGGGCTTGGGACATTTATTGAAGATGAAAAACACTTTCGGAAGACCAACTGATTGGGATGAAGCAGTAGGGGAAGGGTTGGACCCCACCAAGCCCTTGTGACTTCAGGGCCCTGCTCTTTGCCCCATTCAAGGTTCCCTGAAGACCAGGCTGGCTAGAGGCAGAAGGGAGGGATACTGAGATTGCCAGAACCCTAGGCAGAGGGTACTGGGGTAAGGGTATACCCAGTGGGGCCATGGGTGAGCATGGCAGGAATGGGGCAAAGTTAGGATTGAGGAGGACCTGGCAATGGTAGAGGATGACCTAGCCAACTAGGGCCCAGCCCTTTCCCTGGGAGATATTTCCCCCCTTGGGTTCTGGGAATCAAACTTGTACATGTTAGACAAATGTCCTGTCATTGAACCATGCTCCTACCTCCTCCAGCCCTTTGCCCTGAGAATCCACTTGTCAGTTGTATCAGGCCTGGACTTTGGTTCCTGGGGATGTACTAGGTCAATGTACCTTTCTTGCCGTGTCTGAAGGTATGTGTGTTTGTATGTGTCATGAGCTATGCATGTCTGTTAGCCTGTGTGTCTATGTTTTGTCTTGGATTTTCAGCTTGTGGGGGATGTGTTCATGTTTTTATGACTCTGGATATGGGGACTGGGGATATAGTTCAGTTGGTGCAGTGCTTCCCTCACTCCACCTAGAGCTGATCCCCAATACTGTATAGACTGAGTGTGGGGGTGAACATTTGTAACCCCAGCACTATGGTGGTGGAGACAAGATCTGATGTTCAGGGTCATCTTGAACTACATGGTGAGTTCGAAGCTAGCCCGGGATGTATATATGACGTCCCGCCGCTAAGATGGCGGCGGCAGCAGCAGCAACAACAACAAAACAAGAATCTACGTACATGTTTGGGTGTGTCATGGTCTCCATGTGCATTTGGGTGTGCTGAGAGCCTGCAGGACTGACTCACTTTGCTCAGGCAGAGAGCTCAGGGGTTATACTGTCCATTTCCCTCACCTATCCCCATCTACCTGACATCCCAGGAGCCTGGAAACTCGGCATGCCACCCACCTCCACCACCTCCTCCTGGTCCTCACTCAGATAGTTTTAAAGCTCCATGAGCCTCTGACTGAACCCTGTTTCCTGAAGCACATCCAGAGGATCTGTAGAAAGCATAAAGCCGACCACGCCCTTCCCGCCTACCATTGCTTCCCCACCGTCCTCCCAGATAAAGCTTCAGTCTTGGACGTGGCCTTCTAACCCAACCTAGAGCCCACCCTGCCTGCTGCAGCTTCCTGACCCCGGCCTCCCTCCCCCCGGGGACCTGTCTCGGCACTGTCAGGCACTGCTCCACCCTCCCTATAGTGGGTGTTCTTGCTCCTGTTGCTCTGCTCTCCCTACCTCTCTTGCTTGGCAGCTGATGCCTGCCCATCCATGAGTCTGATGTCACCTCGTTGGAAAAGCTTCCCACAATCATTTTCTCAGGGTTTTCTCTGTTTTGAAAGCAGGACACCTTTTCTCCTGTAGCCCAAGCTGGCTTCAGACCGACTATGTAGTCAAAGATGACTTTAAACTTCTTTCTGATCCTCCTGCCTCCACCTCCCTACTTGTGAATTCTAAGCATGTGCCACGATGCCTCCTTTGTGTGGTCCTGAAGACAGACCCTTGGGCTTTGTGCATGCTAGACGAGTACCCCAGTCACTAAGCCACATCCCTAGCTCCACGATTTTCCCTTTCGTCACATTGGTTTGTTTACAATGCTCTGTAAGTGGATGAGTGAGAGAGGTTGAGACAGTTTCTTTCACTCTGTAGCCCTGACTGACCCGCAACTCACTTTGTAGCACAGGTTTGCCTTGAATTAATAATGGTGATCCTCCTGACTCAGCTTCCCAAGGATTGGCATCAGAGGTGTGTAACAACAATAGTTTTCTTAATATCTGTGTTCCAAGTCTTATTAACATTTGTGTCCTCAGATCTACTGAGACTGTCCTGCTAGTTACAGAAAGTCTAAGCCTGGGATCTCTAGGTATTGAATGTCTGTCTGGGGATGGAATCTTTGTGACTAGAGCCTTTTCAGAATTAAGGATGGGGCATACGACAGCTGTCAACTCCACACTCCCTGCTCTGAGAAGGCTGAAGGTGTCCATCTCTCTGCTTCACTGAACAGGTACAGGAAACCCAACCGGCTCAGTGCCTCTGTGTCTCTGTGTCATCATTTGAGAAATGGGCTGATCATAATGACAGCGGTCTCATCCAGTTACGGGGAAAGATCCCGTGGATAAATGAAGGCTCCAGCCAGTCAGGATACCCTTGGGGCGGGGGTGGGATCTGATTCACAGATCTGAGGCCTGGCATCAGGAAGGGCCTCAGGAAATGACAGACGATTCTCAGAGAGCAAGACTTTGTGAGTATGCTTGCCTGGACCCTGTGCAAGGAGCCTTACTCAAGCAGATTCTTTCTGACTCCTCATGACACTAAGGGCAGCTTGGCTATTAAGAGCCTCACGTCATACTTCACGCATTCCTTTACTTATCAATCTAATAAATACTTGAATGTCCCATGTGTCTGGCATTCCCTGTAAACAAGGCAGACACAACCCTACTCTTAGGGAGATTAGTGTCTAGTAGAGTCAGACACTCTACCCTCAGCCAGACAGTAGACTTACACACACCTCTCCTGGCTTATTGTGTGCCAAACGACACACATTTGGATCTGACAACAGCCCTACAGACGCCTGTTTGCAGTTCAGGAAAAAAAAAAAAGACCCTGCTTGTTACTTCACAGATCATAGCAATATATAGTGTCCTGCTATGTATCTCTGTTGTGGGATAGGAGGCTTCAGGCTTCTGCTTGAACTCCAACCCTTGTCTACCAAAGGAGGTACGAGGAATGATGAATTTGGAGTTACTGGGGTTGGGGAGCCATGCCAGGTTTTTTTCTTTTTTTCTTTCTTTCTTTTTTTTTTTTTTTTGCCTGCACAGGAACCTCTGGCTGGGACTGATAAAGATACATGGACTTCAGCCTTCACCAGGCCCTAGGTTTGGCTGTAAGTAGCACCACAAGACAGACAAGACTCATAACTGAACCAGGACTTAATGCCTGCTCTGACTGAACCACACAACATCTCTGGTTGCTCTGCCACTGTTTCTCCAGCTTTTTTGATCCAGGGAAGCTGGACAGTCACTCTCTCCTTTCTCTAAGGACTGTGTGAAGGTGCAAAGCCAACTTAAAAGTTCTCATGTTTTGGAAGTCGCCCCAGTGTTGCTGGGTCGATTGTCAATGAGCAGATAAATAGTTTGACTGAGAGAGTAAGAAGGGGGTTGCAAGGAGCTCTTCCAGTTACCGGGTGTCCCTTCCACCTACCTTTTGCACGCTTATACTTCTTCATCTGGAAAAAGCGGTTAAAAACCCTTCCAGGTTATTCTTTTAAGAGGGCAGAAGACATGAAAATCAGCGCTTGAACTGAGGCTGAAAACACTAAGGGCACAGCTGTTGTTCTTGGTCACACAGAGAATAAGGAACCCGAGCGAGTACCCTGTTCCGACAGACTAGCATTTCGGACACTTCTCCCAAGACCGCACTGGGATAGCCGGTAGTCCTTACGTCAAGGTGGGGCATTCTACTCTCACCTCACCTCCCCCCCCCGGCAGGACGGCAGTGGCTCAGTCCAAGGATCTCTCCCCTCGTGGGAGTGGGTCCGTCCACCCAGTCCCCCGTCCCCCCCGCAGGATGTGCGGGATTTCTTCCAAGCTGCTACCGGCTCACCTTTGACCTTGCCTTTTCGCCACCGCCTGCGACTGCGGTTCTTCGATCCTTCTTTGGCCTGCTTGGAGGCCTGGGCCCCCACGGGCGCCGATTCCACGGCCGGCTTCATCAATTCTTTCCAGTCCCGGCGCTGGGCCCAAGTCCAGCGATCAAGTCCCTCTCACAGAGTCAATCCAAGTTACACACCACCGCCAGGCCCCCAAACCATCCAATCCTGGGCAGGCTCCACGCTGAGCTCCGCCTTTAATGGGTGGAGCTGAAGGTCTTGGCCCGCCCATTCGCTCAGGTTAAAGGAACCGTGCAGTCCACCACCACGGGGGTGGGGTGGGGTGGGGGGGAAAGCAACCCTGGAGGCGGCGGAAAGTGTCCTCACCGCAGGAAGAGTGAGGAGTCGCGCTAGAGTCACCCCAACAGAGAATCCTCAGTCGTCTCGTGCGGGTGCTGACCCTCGCCAACCCCTTCACTGGTCCTTGAACGTGGCCCGCCCACTTGCCCCTGGAGCAACTGGAAGATCGGGCGGGCGGGCAGGGGGCGGGAGACCCAAGGCGTGGACCGGGACCGATTTGGGGGTGTGGCTGCACTTGGTAGCCTCCCGTGTCCGTTCCTGATGTTTTTTCAGACAGGGTCCTATCCTGTAGTTGAGGCTGGCCTTGACTCTCAGCAAACGACCTTCCAGTCTCACATGCTCTCTCCCTCCTAGTTCGGATAGCTCTGTTTCTTGAAGTTTCTCTCCCTCTGTCCTGTCCTTTTCCTCAGAATCAAAGGGATGCGAGGCAGGAAGGGGGGAAGACAGCAAACCCTGAGGCCCAGCAGCTTGCAGGCCTCAGGGTTGACCTACTGAAAGGAGCCGAAGTCGGGGGAGCCCACGTGCCCGGGAATAGGCTGGAAACAGGGGCCCCGAGACCTGCACATGCGCACATGGCTCACTGCGCTCTCAGTTGCTTCTGGGTGGCCCATGGCTCGATTTTCTTCTTGACAGAGCAAGCATTACTCGGCCCTCTGAGAAACCTCTGGGGCCCTTCGGGCTCCCTGAGGTGAAAGACCATCACCCCACCAGCACCTCACTATGCTGTTTCCATTCGGCCTTGACCTTGCCACAGACTTCTGCAGCCTTATCCAGGCCCCTCTCCCAAGCGTCTATACGCCATGAAACCTATACGTCTATGTCTATACGTCATTCCACGGCGCTGAGGCCCCAGAGAGGCACCTGGCGGCAGGGGAAAGACCTTCTTGAAGCAGAGGCTGTAAATGTCCCGGATGTTGAGCTAGTCTACACCACACTTGCCAAGTGTAAGGCCCACATGGAACATTGTGCTGCTGTTGCTTTGTGTATGTTTGCCTCACAACTATTGCTCTGCCAACCCCTTCCTTCCTTCCTTCCTTCCTTCCTTCCTTCCTTCCTTCTTTCCTTCCCAAATGAATGCTAGGAGGAAGGTAAGGTTTCTTTGACCTGATTCCTGAGTTAGAGCTCTTTCCCACTTCAATTTGATTTCCTTCAAATCTTTTGTAAGGGGGCAGCCTGGTGTAAAGGGAGACAAACCTTGTTTTTACTCCTGTTTGCCGTTTCCAAACTGCAGGGCCCTGTGTAAGAGCCTTCATTTTTGTGCCTCAGCATCCGTTCTCTACAGACCAGGCTGGGGATGAGGGTGGGGGTGCTCTTTATTTTACAGGATTCTTGAAAGATGACCTGAGTGTTACAATCCCAGATACAGAGAATACTTAACACGACTAAATGACCGGCTCTGGAATGTGCTAGTCTTCCAGGTTCAGACTCACCTGTGTCCCAGTAGTGTTTGTGTTTCTGCAGGATGGCTTTCTTCCCCTGTGGTAATTTCCCGCCATATCCTGACATCTTTTCAAAATCAGGCTTCCTTTTGGAGAGCAGTGGCATTTCCGGGATCACTGTTCCACAACTTGACTCTGGAAGATTTGACTTTGAGGATGAACTCAGGTGTTTCTCTGTGTCAGACTCTGTAACACAATCAAAAAATGTCTTCCACTCTTGGGATGACCGCTGTATGGATAGTTCGTGCAGTCTTGTTAAAAACCCTGACTCGGTCAAAGATCCCTGCTCAGATTTGACTCCTTGGATTAGAGATGTTTGCTTGGCTGTAGGGTCTGACTGCTCAGGTCTCTCTTGGGATACCAAGTCAATTTGGGTAGGGAGTTTCTTGTGCGGTCCAGGTACAGCCTGGGCTATAGATGTAGCCTCTACTTCTGTAGCCAGAGGTGGTTCTGCTGCTCCGGATTCTGTCATCCCCACATGTTCTTCTCGGAGTTGTGGTTCCTTTTGAGTTGTATACACTTTCCCCACCCCAGGTCCGTTATGCGAGGTGGCTTCCTGTCGATCCGAGTGCACTCTCTGGCTTGGGGATGATTGCTGTGGTGCAGGGAAGGCTAACGGGGTGAGAAATTTCTGGAACAGAGCAGATGGTTGAACTCCCTGTTCCGGCTGGAATTCAGCTTCTTGCTGGGCAGTGGGCTCGTTTGGGAGACTTTGTTTCTGTGGGGTACCAAATCCTTGCAGCATCTTTGTTCTTGGGTGGTCTGTGAGGGTTGTTTCTGGGCCAGGATCTGGCTTGATTATAGGCCTCTCCTGTGTCTCAGGTTTCCATTCTGGCCTAGATACTGAGGTAGAACTTGGCTCTGTAGCTGCTGTTTCCCTTGTGAAAGAAGTTGGTCTCCTGGACTTCATCCTTCTGCCCCTACCCTTCAGGCTTCCCGCTTCACAGATCTTTCATGATGGTACCTCCCTTTGGGCTCTAATCTTTTGTCCTGGCATTCCTGGTCTTCCTTTATAGCTGGTCTGTGAGTTTATCACTGCTGGTCCCCACTCCTTGCCGAGTGATCACTCCGTGCCTCTTACTTCGGGAGAGGGGTTAGGACTAGAGGGAGGCTCCTGTGCCCAGTACTGTCTTACAAGAAGGGAGGGGCTTGTTCTCTTGTGTCATAAATAGGGCCCCACCCCACTCACCACACAGTTAAAATGACCAGTGACCCTTCTCAGAAGGCAAGTATCTTAACTGAGTCTTCTGTTTCATCTGGGATTATTCTAGATGAGCTGGATCCCTACCCTCAGAGGCGGGAATCTGATTTACCCCAGGCTAGCCTCAAGCTACGAATCTTCCTGTCTTCATTTCCCAAATTCTGTGACCACAGGTGTGTACCACTATAGTGCAGTATTTTCCCCTCCTAGGACCAGAGGGGTACTTGAGGAATCTCTAAACTTTTAATCATAGTTTCCTTTTTCATTCATTCTGACAACTTGGTTGTCAGTTGAATTGTCTTAGAGTGTGGCTCTGATTATTTTATGCCCGTACTAAAAAGTACACAGCACAGAAGAAGGGAGATGCCGTCCTGTTTTTCTAGGCTCAAAATCCTTTTGAATGGCAGCTGAGATCCTCCGTACCATCTTTCTAGCCTCGAGCTGTGTTTCTGCATTTATATCTCCTATACTATGTGAGAAACCCCCAGAGTGCAGTGATAATGACGGGGATGATGATGGTGATGATGGTGGTGGTGGTGGTGGTGATGGTGATGATGATGGTGGTGGTGGTGGTGGTGATGGTGATGGTGGTGATAGGAATCATAAACACTGAAGGCTGTCTAGATTCTAAGAAACCACAATTTCTAAACCTTTCTTGTTTCTAACCAGGCAGTGACTGATTCAGTGCTTTCCCTGCCTTTTATACCCCATATAGACCTTGCACCTCCAAACAAGTGAAAGAATAGAAAAGGTCAAGGAGGGAGACGTACATGTAGACTCTGGGAAGGGTTTCAAATGAACAAGGCTAAGGGTGACGTGAATTCAATGTGAGTAACCAGACCCCATTTGATCAAAATAACTGATATTCACTTTATATATATATGCACTGTGTATTTAATGATTTTCTTTGCTAGTTTTCTTATTATATTTATGGTAAGTGAGACCAACAGGGGGTCGGGGTTTCCTGCGTTCTTTTAGGGTAAACAGAAGGCGTAAGAGAAGAGTGGCAAGTGCAGGTGGCACCAGAGGGCACAGTCACAGACACTCTGTTGGGTGGTGACTTTTGAGAGCACTGCGATTCTCTGGTGAGGATGGGGGTGGGGAGAAGAAGAAGAAGCACTCTAGGGCCGGTCACCTCCTTTTCACTGAGAGAGTCTAACTGGGACTACAAGAGTCTCAGGACTACAAGGGCAGCACAAAGCTTGCTAGTTGACATTGTTTGAGAAATTGCTGGCAGGCTCTGGAGAGTCTTTGTGACTTCCCGTGGTGCTTTCGGTGTCCTAGGGCACAAATAAAAGGGGGAGCTATCATTAAAATCTTAAAAATACCTTATATTATTGTTATTTGTGTGTGCCACTTGTGTGAGAGTGCGTGAAGAGGTCAGAATAGAATTTCAGATCTCCTGGAACTTGAATTATAGGTATTGGGGGCCGTCTGACATGTGTACTGGGAAACCAACCCGTCCCTCTGATTTTATTATTTTATTTTGAGACAGGGTCTCTTTGAGAGGTTCTGGCTGTCCTGGAACTCATTCTGTAGACTAGGGTAGCCTCAAACTCAGAGATCCGCCTGCCTCTGCCTCCTATTGCAGAGAATAATGCAGGGACTAAAGGAGTGTGCCAACACTGACTGGCTACCTTGGTCCTCTGAAAGAGCAGTAAGTGTTCTTAATTGTTGAGCTGTTTCTCCAGCTCCTTTAGAAACATTTTAAAATTTAATTTTGATGCAAACTGTAAAAAGTATGAGATGCGACTAGCAGTGATAGCTCATGCCTGCAGTCTCAGGACACAGAAGGCAGAAGATTGTTTTTAAGTTTGCGGCCCACCTAGGCTATAAAGTAAATCCAAGTCAGCTCAGGCTATAATGAAAATCCATCTCAAGCCGGGCGGTGCTGGCGCACGCCTTTAATCCCAGCACTTGGGAGGCAGAGGCAGGCGGATTTCTGAGTTGGAGGCCAGCCTGGTCTACAGAGTGAGTTCCAGGACAGCCCGGGCTACACAGAGAAACCCTGTCTCGAAAAAAAAAAAACAAAAAACAAACAAACAACAACAAAAAAAAAGAAAGAAAGAAAAGAAAATCCATCTCAAAAAGGCAAACAAGCCAAGAATGGTGGTGCACACCTTTAAGCCCAGTGCTCAGGAGGCAGAGACAGGTGGATCTTTGTGAGTTCCGGGCCAGCCTGGTCTACAGAGTGAGCTTCAGGAGAGGCAAGGCTACACAGAAGATGCTGTCTCAAAAAAACCAAAAAACCCAAAAAAACAAAAAGAAAAGAATCAAAACGCCAGACAAGGGAAGAAGCTCATCGGGTCACAGCTGCCCTGGCTCCTTTTACTTTGGTAAACGCTGCTGTTGAAGAGGCTAGGAATTTGAGTAACCCTTTTTAGTTCCAGAAAAGTCTACCCTGATGCTTTTGCTCTTTCAGCTTTCCTACAAGCTGACACTGAGTAGAACGGGGCTAGTTGATGCACTCCACTCCTTGTGACCTCATGGGACTGAGTGTGTTTAAGCAAGGCCGTCCTTGAAACTTACTGGTTTTTTTCTCACTGCCCTTGACATGATCACAGGGACACTGCTTCCTTGGTGGCCCCAGCGCTGCTGTGGTTTTTCTCTTTGGGACTTGCAGGAACCAATCTGTAACAACAGGCTGCTGCTTAGACAGGGGGATTGGTTTGTTTGGGGATAGGGACTCTCGGGTAGGGCTTCTGAGCCTCTGGTGTCTCTTTCATACAGACTGAGGAAAAGATCAACATAGAATATCAAGCTGAGAGAACCCCAGGATTTCTGGATTGGTTTTGTGACCCTTGAGGGCAGGGGTTTGCTGACATGTTTAGAAGGGGGCATTGGGATGTCCCTGTGGAGACCAAAGGATGAAAAAATAAGGCCCAGGTGTCTTTAGTGCTGCATTTCTTCTGCTTCCGTCTTTTCTAAAAGGAACATTAGTCTACTGGGATCCAAGATGTTCTTGGAGGGCCAGCAAAAAGTAAAAACCCTTTGAGAAGGTAGCGCTGGGAACTTGGGGTGGGGGTGCAGCTCGTGCTTGGGTTAGTGCTTGTGTAGATCTTGGTAGGCATCTAGCTCCTGTCTGACTCACAGAGAAAGCAGGCATTAGTGCAGCTTCCGGTGGGATGCTGAGGTTAGCTCAAATAACATCTGTCCTGGTCTCAGAGGGGGCTCAAGGGAGATGGAGCTTAAGGAGCAGGACGGCACCAACCCTGAGGGCAAGGCTGAATTACCGACCTTTGCATTCACATTCTTGGCCATCTTCCAAGAGCCACCTCCTAGGAGCCCGGTGTTGGTCCCCATGGCTTCTGGCGACCCCTGTTGGAGGGAAACAGATCTACAGTTACTTCTAGAGAAGGGAAAGCTCTCTGCCCCTATCCTCCAACATGGGTACCTAGATCAGCACAGTCTGTGTCGATGTGTGTCTGTCTGTCTGTTCCCCCCTTCCACGGCTGGGCTCTATGGTACTCCAAAAGAGGAATATTGTAAGTGGATAAAGAACTGAGAGTTAAAGTCTAGCCTAAAAGCTGGAGAGATGGCCCAGTGGTTAAACACACTTGCTGCTCTTGCAGAGAGAACCCAGACTGGATTTGAAGCAGCACCTGCAAGGTGGCTTGCAGTCATCTGTAAGTCTAGATCCAGGGTATCCAGTGCTCTCTGCTTACCTCCAGAGGCACTCAAAGGCAAAGCAAAAATAAATACATCTTAAAGAAAAAAAATCAGGCCTACGGACAAGCTTAACTGAGAAAGGGAAGAAAATGGCTTCTGGATCTAAGAGGGGACATGATGTTGTTACCGAGACTGCAGTCCCTCACACTGGACCACTGATGACTCCGGTGAGAGCCCGGAGCAGACGACTGTGAGCCAGACTTCCCACGTGACCTCTGAGTTGCTGTGTTGGGGCCCACAGTTCCAGCTGACTGGGAAGTGGATGGTATTTGTGTTTGCTGCTCTGGGACACACTGCACTCCAAGCATATAGAGCGGATTCTACTACCTCCATCTGTTTAAGACAAGGTCTTGCTATGCAGCTCAGACTTCTCTTGTACTCCTGGCCTTCAGCGAGCCACCTGAATCTGCTTCCTGGGTAGCCGGGACTATTGATGCTTACCACCAAGTTCACCTGTAACTATTTTTGTACCAACAATGGTTAAAGGGTGATGATATGGCTTAGCAGGAAAAGACACCTGCTGCCCTGCTTGACAACCTGGGTGGGTGGAAACAGAATGTTGACCCCTGATGGCTGTCCACTGACATTCACACATTCCGTGTGTGACATGTGAACCCACCCACCAACCCACACCCACCCACCCACCCACACACACACACAAATTAATTAATTAGATATAATACAAAATTTGTCGTAGGGTTTCTATTGCTGTTGTAAAACCCTATGACCAAAAGCACCTGTGGGAGGAAAGGGCTTATTTCAGCTTACAGCTCTCGGGGCACACTCCGTCACTTCCTGAGAGAAGCCAGGATGGCATTGTATCATATCCCCGGTGCTGGTTTCCGGTGTTCTCATGTGCTGTTCTGAATGCTGCTAAATTAATCTAGACGGGCACAGCTCTTGCCTTCAAAACCTCTTTCTAGCATTTTCTCCTTGTGCGGCCTTTATTCCTTATTTTAGTGAAAATCCATAAATATTAAAGCCAGACACATCTTGTAGATGATTTAGTTGAACCCTTAAATATAGAAGTTTTTTAAAAATTCTAAATATTTACATTTAGATATGTAGAAATTGTAATTTCAATTCGAAAGTACGATAAACGTCATTCATCATCACCATCACCATCATCACCACCACCACCACCACCATCATCATCAACATCAGTTTTGCTTTGAGGCATAGTCTCCTGTAGTTCAGGATAGTCTTGAACTCAGTTACAGAAGCGTTCACGACAGTTTCCTGGTTTTTACATTTTCATTTTGCAAGTATGGGAGTTTTGCTTGCATGTACGTCTGTGCACCACTGGTGTGTCCGGTGACTGAAGTGACCAGAGAAGGCATTGGATCTCCTGGAACTAGAGTCATTGATATTTGTAAGCCGCCTGGGACTTGGACCCAGGGCCTCTGGAAGAAGAGCCAGTGATTTTAACCATTGAGCCATTTCTCCAGCCCCTCTAGTTTTTAAAGATTTACTTTTTATGTGTATTGACTCCATGTGTGTCTGTGTACGATCTGCATGCAGTGTCCACAAAGGCCACGGACTCAGATCCTCTGGGACTGGAGTTACAGAGTTGTGAGCTGCCATGTAGGTGTTGGGAATTGAACCCTGGGTTCTCTGGAAGAACGCCAATGCTCTTAACGCCGAGCTATCTCTCCCGTGGTTTTCATTTCTTTTTAATTTACAATTTTATTACTTATTTGTTCATTGTGTGCGTGTGTGTGTGTGTGTGTGTGAGAGAGAGAGAGTGTGTAAGAGTGCATATGTAGAGTTTCAGGAGTTTGTTCTCCTTCCATGATGTGGCCCTGGGAATCAAAATCAGGTGCCAGTCTTGGCAAAACAAAAGGTTTTACCTGGCGAATCATCTTGCCATCAACCCCTCCTTTTTTCTCCCCTAAAAGACAAGGTTTCTCTGTGTAGCTCTGGCTGTTCTAGAACTCGCTCTGTAGACCAGGCTGGTCTTGAACTCACAGACATCTGTGTGCCTTTGCCTCTTGAGTGCTGGAATTGAAGTTGCAGGGTACCACTACCTGGGCAACTCTTTCTTTCTTTCTTTCTCTCTTTCTTTCTTTCTTTCTTTCTTTCTCTCTCTCTCTCTCTCTCTCTCTCTCTCTCTCTCTTTCTTTCTTTCTTTCTTTCTTTTTTTTTTTTTGGTTTTTCGAGACAAGGTTTCTCTGTGTAGCCCAGGCTGTCCTGGAACTCAAAAATCTGCCTGCCTCTGCCTCCCAAGTGCTGGGATTAAAGGTGTGTGCCACCACTGCCCGGCTTTTTTTTTTTTTAACTCTTTTTTTTAATTAAAAAAAAATCCCAGTTTTAATCATGGCATAGTGGTAAAATGCAAATGAGGGTAATGATATTACTCAGTGCTTAGAGGTGCCTACTGGACAGGCCAGACTACCTGGGTTCAACTCCAAGACCCACATGATAGAAAGCAAGAACCAACTCCTAAAAGTTGAGCTCTGACCTACACACTCCATGCACCATGGACTTCAAGTAAGTAAGTAAGTAAGTAAGTAAATAAATAAACAAACAAATAACTTAAAAAGTTATTTGAAGCTGGGCGGTGGTGGCACACACCTTTGATCCCAGCATTTGGGAGGCAGAGGCAGGCGGATTTCTGAGTTCGAGGCCAGCCTGGTCTACAGAGTGAGTTCCAGGACAGCCAGGGCTACACAGAGAAACCCTGTCTCGAAAAACCAAAAAAAAAAAAAAAGTTATTTGAAAAAATATGTGAAAGATATATTGAAACTTTTTATAATGTTTTGAAAACGTGAAAATTAAAAGTAACAGAATACATTAGGTTAAAAATATCAATGTATGGGCTAGAGAGATAGCTCAAAGGTTAAGAGCACTGGCTGCTCTTCCAGAAGTCCTGAGTTTAAGCCCCAGCAACCACATGATGGCTCACAACCATCTGTAATGGAATCTGATGCCCTCTGCAGGCATACATGCAGGCAGAACACTGTGTACATAATAAATCTTAAAATTCTCTGGGGCTGAAGTTACAGGCAGTTGTGAGCTGCCAAATGTATCTGCTGTGAACTGAACCCAGATCCTCTGCAAGACCAGCCAGTGCTCTTACCTTCGGAGCCATCTCTCCAACCCCTATTACATTAGATTTTTGTGAGGACAAGGTGAGATAACTGTATATTCATTATAAGACTTAAAACAGTGCCTGCAGCACAGGATTTTACTAACACATGTCTGCTATTATCATAAAAAACATATTAGAAATAGTGAATAATCTATTATAAGTAATTTATTCATAATATTATTATACATTCTTATGGTATTTCTTTTTTCCTTCTCCTCTTTGAAAAGTATATTGAGTATAGACGTAAGGTGTTAGGAGGTAAAGTAAAGTCAGATTAAAAAGAATAAATGTATGGATGTTTTGCCTGCGTGTATATCAGTGCACCAAATGCATACAGTACCCACGGAGGCCATAAGAGGGTGTCAGATCCTTTAGTGGACTTAACAGACATGGGTGATGAAGTCTTTTAGAAAAGCAGCCAGGCCTTTCAACCACTGAGCCAGGGCACTCTAGTTTGTGAGATACACTTTATTTTGAGAATTGATTTGAGGTTTATGTATAGGTCATTTCCTCTGGCTACTAAATGGTTCAGACAGACGTGAACACTGTGAAAACTCTTGGCCGGAAAAGCTCAGGATCACCACCCAGCCCATGGTGTGTGTGACAGCGCCATCTGGAGGCTTTAAGAAGTGAAGCGACTTAGCAAGTTTGCAAAGCAAGTGGCAGAGGCAGCAAGGTCTTCTTCACTTCAAGGCATAGTGTAAGAATTTGGGGAGTCTGGATATGGAGTGGAGCCAGGTTTGTAAATGTTGTTGTAGAGCTGTGTTTATTAACTTGGTCTGGTCCCTTGCAGGGAACAGTGACCAGCGGGTGGCTGATATTTTTTAGCTTTCTTAACTCCATGGAGGTTTACTATTGGTGATGAGTGGGTAGAGGCCCACACAGCAAAGAATTGTTCAGCACCAAACTTAATAGTAAGTTTGGTCCTGTAATCCCAGCTCTTTAGGAAGCCAAGGCAAGAAGATCCCAAGTTCAAGGCACTCTGGGAAATAATAAAAGTTATGTATCAACCAAAATACTGACAGGTGGGTTGTGATGGTGGTCGTGCACACCTTCAATCCCAGCACTTGGATATGAAGCATTCAGAGTGGATGTCTCTGAATTCAATGTCAACCTGGTCTACAGAGCAAGTTCCAGGACAGCCAGGGCTACACAGAAAGACCCCGTGTGCCTGCAACTGTAGCTGGCAACATACACACAGCCCAGCCAAGATCCACTCTCCCTGCCTTCCCAACCTCTCCTAGAAAAGTCACAGATTTTCTCAGAAAAACAAACAAACAAACAGAGGCATGGCTGTAATTCAGTGACACACTGCTTGGTTAGCATGCATGGGGTTCTATGTTTAATCACATGCACACACTAGCAACAACAAGAAAGAACACTATCGCCAGGCAGTAGTGGCGCATGCCTTTATTCCCAGCACTTGGGAGGCAGAGGCAGGCGGATTTCTGAGTTCGAGGCCAGCCTGGTCTACAGAGTGAGTTCCAGGACAGGACAGCCAGGGCTACACAGAGAAACCCTGTCTCAAAAAAACAAAACAAAAAAAAAAAAAAAGAAAAAGAAAAAAAGAAAAAAAAAAGAAAAAAACACTATCGCACCTTGGCATGCAAGTCACAGAAATGAATCATTTTGAACTTAGAAACCTGAGCACTTAGCTAATATTTACTGAGTGCTATGTGGGATAGCGTGAGGGTTATGAAACAATGCATCGGTTTGTGCCACCGAGGTGATCAAGGTTCCAGTCTGCTGGGCAGGAGAGCTGGAAGAGGTGCGCTCTTACAGTGTGAGACAGAACATGATATACAAAAAGAGTCCTGACTGGGCTGAGGACAGGCAGCTTGGAGAGAGCCGCCTGGGTGTAGGAGCAAGTGGAGGAGGAGTGGGAAGGTGCTGGCTTTTGAGGGTGATGTGTGAGCAAAGTTGAGCTGCTTTGAAAACACAGGAATCAGCCGTCTCGTTTGGTTGGAGCATAAGTGTATCTTTGTGAGTGGAAGAAAGTGGACTGAAAAGGTGTGTGGTAAGTGGAGCTTTGAGCCCATGAGGAGGACTTTAGCTTGGTGTCCGCATAGTGATAGAGATGCCTTCTCTTCCAGAGTGGCTGCTTTTTGGGCCCCAGGACTGAAGAGCTCAGAGAACTTTCTCTACAAAGGAGAGATGCTGGACATGACAGGAGGCAGGTGATTCTGAATCTAGGATCATGGACACTGAGTGTGTCGCAAATGACTTCACCCACAGATAGCCCAGGGGTGGGGGGATGGATGGTGTCCTCAGGGAGAGAGGTACATGGGTGCAGGTGACCTTGCTTCTGTGTGGTTGTTCTGTGCAGAGCTGGGACACACTGGCTGTGGTGAAAACTGGATCAGATTCAGAACCTCTACCAAGACTGCTTCTCAAAGGACAAACCATTCACCCGAGCCCGGATGACTAAAGTCTCTGCGCGACACGGCTGCTGATAGGACTGGCCTAGTTCGTATCATCAGTGGCTTGCTTGGCATACGCTAAGAATATAGGACTCTTCATTTCTTTACTTTCCACCATAAGCACCCCGGCCCCGGTTGAGCCCTGAGAAAATCTGTGACTTTTCTAGGAGAGGTTGGGAAGTAAGGGGAGTGGATCTCGGCTGGGCTGTGTGTGCACTTGTGTGTATGTTGCCAGCTACAGTGGCAGACATGTTGGTAATGTGTCTTAAAAAGTTTACAGAGCCCTTTGAGATAAATAGGGTCCTTCCTTTTTGCTAATGAGGATTCTGGTACTGAGAAGGACTAACCTAGTTACCCCAACTTGTTGTTGCTAAAAGAACATTTTAATGCATTTGTTGTTGGGTTTGCCATGTTTTCTACCCCATTTCCTCTCTGCAATATCAAATTAATCTTTGGTGTGTGCATGGTGCAGGTGAGGTAGAAATTAATCTTGAGCCGGCATAGTGGCACATGTCTATAACTTGGAGACTCAGGGTACGGAGGCAGGAAGAGTCCAAATTTCCGGTCAGCCTGAGCTACATATCAAGAGCCTCTCTCAAGGGGAGAGAAAAATAGAAGGGAGGAAGGACAGACGAGGTAAAGAGGAAGGGAGGGAGAGAAAGAGAAGAGAGAGTGTTATTTCATCATATTTACCTGGATTGGGGCTGCTGGAGACCATCAACACGAGCATCAGTGGCAGCAACAGAAGGAAGGGAGAGGCTAGAAGCTTCATCATCGCTGTCTGTTGTTTCTTAAGACTGTATGGATTGTCACCAGTTAGAGGCTTCTGATTTCTTGTAACTGCTCAGGTGGAGTAGTGTCTACAGGTTAATCCCACGCCAGAGCACCCATGAGAAGTCAAGAGCCAGAAGGCGGTGCTGGTACCAGATTAGACCAGGTCTTTACAGGAATGTGGGAGGTGAAACTGGTCAAACAAAAGGAACCACACTCCAGAGAAAGGAACAAGTGACTGAGCTCGGTTGCCGTGCTCGACTCCGCCCCCACTGTGGGGGGTTTCATGCTCTAAGCTTTTGTCTCTCTTGAGTTTCCTTGTAGCTTTTGGCTGTTTATAGCAAAACTCAGGCACTGCAGGCTGGCAAAGAGAGGCTGCCTGCTGCCGCATTTCCTCTGTCCATCCACTTGTGATCATCAGCAAGGGCCAGCCATGGAAGTGCTACTGCCTGGGCAGTTGGCCTGTCCTCACACTGCTGACAGAGTTCTCCAATCCCCTAGCCACTCACAGGAGAGGCAGAGTTCATTTAAGAAGATGTTCATGTTGGGTGTGCTGGTGTGTGCCTCTCATTCCAGCACTGGGGACTGAGGAGGGCTTTGAGTTTGATGACAGAATCTTTTCTTTTCTGCGAAAGAAAGAAAAACAAAAATGAAGGGCTGATGAGTGAGCTGATGATGATCTGACTTCAACCCCCCCCCACACCCCCCAGTACTCACAAGGAAGTAGAGAAACCAGTCCATTGTCCTCTGACTTCCATACTACTTGGGTGCATGCATACACCCCTCATCCTTAAATGCATGTAGCAAAGAACAAAGGGCCGAGGATGTAGCTGATTGGTAAGATGCTTGACTAGCATGCCCAAGGCTCTGGGTTCGATTCCCAGCACTATTAAAAAAAAAAAAACAAATGGAAACAAACCAGTAACAACACACACACAAAATCAGAGGCAGTTATCTTTGCCTCCAAACTCTTTACTGGAGCAGTGAGGAAAACAAAGGCTCCTCTTTTTTTTTTTTTTTTTTTTTTGGTTTTTCGAGACAGGGTTTCTCTGAGTAGCCCTGGCTGTCCTGGAACTCACTCTGTAGACCAGGCTAGCCTCGAACTCTCGAACTCAGAAATCCGCCTGCCTCTGCCTCCCAAGTGCTGGGATTAAAGGCGTGCGCCACCACCGCCCGGCACAAAGGCTCCTCTTATTCATCAGGAAGTTGGCTATGGTGTGTGTGTGTGTGTGTGTGTGTGTGTGTAAGATCACCAGAGCTTCAGGTCCAGAAAGACTTGAATATAGAAACTATAGGCAAAAAGGCATTCTTGAACTGTGTTGGTCCAGGTTGGTGGGGTTCTCGGCTCCAGTCTTTGGAAATGGCCCAAGGCAGAAGGAGAAAGCTGATAAGGCTGACAGTCAACATTAAAGGTGATTGTGCCAGCCAGCTCACAAGGGAGGGGAGCTTTAGTTCTGAAACTTCTAGTCTTAGAGGTGTTATTTTATGACCCTTCTTCCCTGTCACTTTGGGGCCTGTGTTGAGATACATCATGAAATGAGTTTTTAATGCAAACTTCGCGCATCCAGGAAACAAAGAAGACAGCAAGAAATATGATCCTAGTATTTCCTTTAAGGGTGCACACCCCACCATGACATAACTGTTTGCTACCAAGCTCTGTCTCCTAAAGGTTCTTCTGACTTCCCACTAGGCTACCTACCAAGCCTTTCATTCACGGGCCTTTGGGAAGCACCGAAGATCCAAATGATAACAATCTTGGAAACATCAGTACTGAATTTGGTGTCTATCCAAGAGACTTTAAGAATGTGTCAAAGAAATAGGAATTGATCAAGTTAAATGTTGGGTGACATTTGTTGGGGCTGAAGGGACAGTGAACAAGGACGTCTTTCCTAGAAGCCTCCAGGAATGAGGGGTGGGGTATACGAACTGTTCCTTCAAAAGAAGTGAATTGATAAAAATTTTTTTCATTATTTTTTATTTATTTACTTTATATCTTGATCACAGCCCCCCTTCTCCAGATTTTCCTCACACAGTCCATTCCCCCAACCCCCTTTTCCCTTCTCCTCTGAGGAGGGGGAGACTCTCCCTGGGTATCACCCCCTCCCAGCACGTCAAGTCACTGCAGGACTAGGCTCGTCTTTTCCCACGGGGGCCCGGACAAGATAGTTCAGTTGAAGGAGTGGGATCCACAGGTGGGCGACAGAGTCAGGGTCAGCTTCCGCTCCGGTTACCTGGGTGATCCTGTATAAAGACCAAGCTGCATATCTACTACATATGTGCTGGGGGCCTACGTCCAGCTCATGCCTGTTGTTTGTTTGGTGCTTCAGTCTCTGGGAACCCCCAAGGGTCCAGGTCCCTCAATCCTTCCCCCAAATCTTCCACAAAACTCCCCAAGCTTTGTCTACTGTTTGGCTGTAGGTCTCTGTGTCTGTTCCATCAGCTGCTGCATGGAGCTCTCAGAGGACGTTATGCTAGGCTCCTGTCTGCAAGCAGAGCAGGATATCATTAATAGTGTCAGCTGGGGCTCTTAGCTCCTAACCTGGTTCTCTAGAGCCCTATTGTTTTAAACTATTTAATATGTATGTATGTATGTATGTATGTATGTATGTATGTATGATGTATGTGTGTATGTATATGTTTGTGTGTGTGTGTCTGTGTGTGTATGCCTTATTTGTGAAGAAGCTGGAAGCAAAGAGAACTTCAGATCTCTGGGAACCAGAGTTACAAGTAGTTGTGAACCACCCTGCGCTCTCCTGTCACTCCCCATGGTCAAGCATGGAGACCACAGCAGGCACTGAATTCTATGACAGTCCGTCCAGCGCGGCAGTGCTCAGGACTGCCTGCTTCCCTGCTGGACCATGTTCACAGTGAGCGCGGAATCCACATCCGCTGCGTGGAATCCACATCCGCTGCGTGGAATCC